CATGGCTTGAATGCAGTCCCTCATATATTATGCTTTATCAAACTTAAAGTCATATATTTATTGAAAATTGAAAATTATTTAGCTATGTTAATATAATGCTTGTTTCTCTTTGTTTTTGACTGAGACAACTGTTTAAAGATCTAAATATAACTGCCGTAAATGATTTTGCAGAATATACAATTTTTCCCAAATGAATTTGCTCAGAAAAAAACTTTTTTACATTGAGAATGATGCAATAAAGACTGTTATTTATTGTCAAACATCATCTCTGATTATTCTAAATTTTCCTTAATTACTACAGTACCTTAATTTTCAGGTCAAAACAGATTCCCAGGCTGCAGATGTAAGGCACAGTGTAATACGAAATTATGCCCTTGTTTCTTGGCTGTTAGAGAATGTGACCCTGATCTATGTCAGACTTGTGGTGCAGGTTTGCTATTTTACTAAAATCTATGTGTAACTTTTTGAATTTTCTTTTTATGTTTAGACTACAAGTTTGTGATGTCTTGATGTAAATGATTAATTCATTTGTTAAGTGTTCATGCCAACTTTCAATATCAATTGGTTTTTAATATTTATTTGAACTTCTGTAGATGTTTTTCTAATCCACATAATTAAATTTGGTTAAAAAGAAAATTGAGTTAATAAATAATGTTGTTTCCTACAAGCCCTGTTTTTAAATTAACATTTCCTCTATCTTAAATTTTAAAAAAAATTGTTTTTTTCCATACAATAAATTTTACCTGAAAAATTACGACCATATGCTTTGTGTGATTTTGGAGTCAGGAAAGTTATCTAAAATAATATATTTTTTCTCATCATTAGTTATAATAGTTTTGTAGTTATATAATTTTTGAGCTGGAAATGAAATTGTATTCCTATATTTATTCAAAGATCAATTTGAAACTCCAAAGATTTCATGCAAGAATGTTGGTGTGCAGAGAGGACTAAGAAAAGTAGGTTAATTTATACATCCAGGTAGAATTAAGTACTTGCTCTCTGAAGAAGATGAATTCCTCTCATAGTAGCATAGTGTCCATAGTATAAATACCAACATCTAGATTTGACTACAATTTGCTCATTTGCTCTATTTCGCAAATACCTTCTGGGATGATTGTCTACCTTATTTTCCATGTGTTGCTGTGTTGCTTAGTGTTGAAATGGCCAGAAAGACTTTGATATTGTATGCTTGTAATTAGTTTTTGTAGTGTTGTGTTTGTTTTAAATGTGGTGAATTATAGATTGTTTTTTGTTGACTTTGTACCGCGCTTCGAGCCTTTGGGGATGAAGCGTGTGTTTTTTAAAATGAACTTTATTATTATTATTATTACAAACACATAAACATCTGTAGCCTGGCCGAATATCCCTACACACTATGTTGAGGAAATATTTAAAGAAACTTTAGTGAACAAATTCACAGGTCAACATGAGAGATACATCTTTTACACATCTTTGAACAGACACTATTTCTAGAAGACTGAGTGGAAATCATAAAGTTAATTTCACATCTGTCTATCTTATTTACTATATCCTACCACAAAACATTGTTTAACTCTCAAATCACATAATGGCACACTAACTACCATCCACACTGTCAAAGCATTTGTTCCTTCACCCATTAGCATCACATCACAACTTAATATCACAATGCTTCCCTAAATCAGCTGGTAAGCTGTAACAGTTTTCCAAATAATCAGAGCAAATTGGCCAAAGATATCCCGAAACATTTAATTTAAGATTGGAATGAGCCCAAGGATGAAGCGTATGTTAAAAACTATTATTTAATTATTGCAGCACTTGTTGTTAGCTCCATCAGATGTGGCTGGATGGGGAATTTTCCTTAAAGAACCAGCTGAAAAAAATGAGTTTATCTCAGAATACTGTGGAGAGGTAAGGAAGATGCTCATAGGTACAATTGTACCATCTGATTTTTTTAGTTTTCTTTGCTCTGTGTTTGACAATTTATACCAGGCATATTATCTTTGGGCCCGCACAAGGTTTTCATAAAGTATTACGGCCCGCCATACATTTTGAGTTGTGCAGGCCTGATTTATACCCACGTGCCCATCGACACTGTCCGATTTTCACCTTTATATCCACATTACATCCATTGGCGTTAGTAGTGCATACATTCTAACATTGTTACTTCCTAACTAAATGGATGATGCAACTTTTAAATGAAAACATCTTGTTAAAAGACCCTTTTTTTCCTTCAGATTTTGACTTTTTTTTACATGGCATTTTTGTCAAAAAATAGACTCAGAGGATGAATTCAATAGCAATTTAAATGTAATTGGAGATTTATCGGTTAATTATGCTAGCTGTAGTAATAAAAATTCCTGTATTTAAATTATTAGGGTGAAATAAATATTGTCTGTCATAACAAAGTTAATGAGTTTGCTGTCTTATAACCCTATGTTTCAGCGTACTGGCAGAAAACCATCACATGCATAGGATAGAAGTTTTTTTTCTTATACTTTCCAAGTATTATATTTGTTGCAATAATAATAGCAATTCAATTTATTATTTAAAAAACAGATCATTTCTCAAGATGAGGCTGACAGGCGTGGAAAAGTTTATGACAAATATATGTGTAGCTTCTTATTCAATCTCAATTATGGTAAGTTTCATAAAAAGAAATATACAAATTAGAGTGGTTGTAATGGAAGGGCAATCTGTTGTGTATTCATGAATTTTAAGCAGATTTCTACTCTCAAATAAGTCAACTGGTGCTATCAATGGAAATGGTATTTATTGTGCTACCTGTGGGGGGAAAAAAAAAGCTAATGTGTTTTTAATTTGGCTTTCAAGCTCATTGTAAAGGGATATTAAGGCAAAAACAAGCTACACAGGTTGTTAGATAATCAGCAATAACAATTAAAAAAAAAATTACCTAAGTCTTTTAACAACCTTTTCTCTCATTCTTAGATTTTGTTGTGGATGCCACTAGAAAGGGAAACAAAATCCGATTTGCAAACCACTCAATAAATCCCAACTGTTACGCCAAAGTTATGATGGTCAATGGCGACCATAGAATTGGAATTTTTGCTAAACGGCCAATTCAAGCCGGCGAGGAACTATTCTTTGATTACAGGTCAGTACTTTATTACATTCTCATGTTTCTTTTAGGTTAAAGTTTGCCAGGATTATTTATCTCATCACAATATCTATTTCTGATATTATCTTTTTTAAAATCATATCAGTTTGTAGGTAAGTTACTAGTATCATGCACAAATATAATTGAAGATGCTTTGTATAAAGCTTATCTGTTGGGGTGTTGTGCATGTACATTAATTATTAGAAAAAGGCAAAGAGCTAAAAATTATGACTGCTTTTTCATTTTCTGTCAAAAGGTGGCCTTATTGGATCTGAGGATATCATTACACATATCAATTTATTATTACCGGTACAGCTTGGCCTTTTTTATCTTTTATCTAGAACCCCACTAAATATCATGTTTTTCTTTCCTACTTCAGATATGGACCTACAGAACAACTAAGATTTGTTGGAATTGAAAGAGATGGGATGATTTGATCAATGTTTTACTTACGACAATTTTTTAAAGAAATCAAAATCATAGTAAATACCATTATTATTTTCTTGTAGTAAATAAATTGGAACTAGGAATAAGAACCATACTGTGTGTGTATGTGCGAATAAAGCTGTTAATTCTCAGTAAGTAATGAAATAGCTGGATGATGGTTTTTGTCATCCTTATTTATAACTTTTAATTTATATTTTTATTATATGCATGATTTGTACTTTTTATAATTGAACAAAGATCAACTATTTTATTGTGAGCCAAATGCATGGGATTGACAGATTTAAATTTAATTTCTTCGATCTTGAATTTCATTCCCTATTCTGTCATGTAAATGTACATTCTATTTCTATTGTAGGAAGGATTTTTTTTTTTGGCCTAATTGTTCAGTGATTTATAGTTTTTTTTTGTTTTTTTCCTTTTTCCCTTCTATGTGGGAATGTATTCTTCAAAATCAATTTGGTACATTAACATTTTAAAAATGTGTCCATGGTTATTGGTAGCATGCATAAGTATTTGCTTTTTTTTTCATAAGAAGGTGAATAAAAGAACTATACAGTAAATAAATTAAATAATGACCTCAGAGTTTATTATTTTGTGAAACTGTCAATATTAAATTTTATTATTAGTATGCTAGTTGTTCTTAAAGTATTGTCTATCTACCAGTACCAAATTTGTTAAGTTGTTTGAAGGAATTGTGCTGATTTAAAAGGATTTATAAATTATTCCAAAGACAATGTTCACATCATTTATTACTAGTCTACACTAATGTTTCCCAATCAGTAATGTGGAGTCAGCACAGTGGATTCAAAATAATTTTTTAATTTAAAAAAATATAACTGCAGAATTCATCACATATTCCATGTCCTCACACACAAGCCATGCTATCCTTGCCTTTCATTGGCATAACTTTAATCAGCAATCAAACATTCATGCATCTGAGTATCCACAGTGTTATCATATAGCAACCAGTTTTAAATTATGAAAGCAACTGAATAACTGTAAATATCATATTGAGATGAAATACTAATGCAATAGCTCTTAGAAAGCCAGCAGAAAATGTCAATGGAAAAAAACTAATTTCAACGAAAATGATTAATACTGATTAATGGAAGCTGGGGATTGACAGGAAAATATTTACAAAACTTGCTATTTTAAAGACAAAGAATAATTTATTTTCTGTGAATCAGCTTCTATATTTAGATAAAGAAATGCTTAACATGGTAGATATGCAAATATGTACACTTAAAATTACGTGAGTTTCTTATGTTTTCTCTACCTACACAAAAAAGGGGTCTACCGTTTCAGACATATGAAGAGAGGTAGGTCTGTATTTGACAAAATTAATTTGATCTTTGTACAAAAAAAAAAAAAAAAAAAAAAAAAAAAAAAAAAAAAAAAAAAAAAAAAAAAAATAATGTAAATTTTATGAAAAAAAAAAAAAAAAAAAAAAAAAAAAAGGGATATGTACAAAATGAGACAAAATTAGTGTTGAGTTGAAGAATGAGATCATTATTTTTAGGGGTATTAAATCTATTTCATATTCTTTTTAAATTACAGCTTTTAACATATGGCATTCCAAATTCAGAACAGGAAATGTTAAAAATGAGACACATTAAATTGTTTTACAAACGCAAGGAGACGGCCCCTTTAAATTTAGCTGTTAGTTTATAAGTTTTGACTTGCTGTTTTAAAAGATTTTATGCTATCTTTTAAAAAGATAAGCAGTAACATAAATTTCTTGTCAATATTTAGTTGTTTAATTGTCAAAAATAAATTTAGAAAATATAATCTGTCATATCCAAAATAAAGGCTTTGGGCACGATAAGAAACTAAAACAAAAAACTAATTAAGAGAGAATAAGAACTAGTGAACTCCCAATCTGCTGCACAATGGTGTGTTGATTTAAATGAATCAGGTCACTTGTCGATCTGAGGGTAAGAAAGAGTCACAAGTTCTGTTTGTTGTGCTGTCAATACCTCTTCAGCATGTTCACTTCTCCAAACATCCATTCTCTCTTGGCCTAATTCATCATAAAGTTGATCACTTTTGTCTCTAGATTTCTCTATTTCTTTGTTCATTCTGGATGAGAGTAACAAAATGTAATTTAATTTTGGATGCATATGAAGAACAAGAGTAGCAAATTAAAGCATAAGTTTCACTATTATTTTACTCCACTAATGTACAAAATAAACCTGAAATATTATGATTGTGTAAACACTCAGGATACAATTTTCTAACTTAACATGCTATCATATTTAACAACACTTACTTTCTACTAACAGCCAATGCTCTTGCAATAAATCTGTCTCTCTTTTCTTTGTCCAGATTGTCATTCTGAAATTTTTTCTATTGGAAATAAAATGTGCATTAGGAATTGTGATTTATTGAATTCTACTTTTTAGTTTTATGCCTAGAAAAAAGTATAGTCACTTTAATCGAATTTTGTGCGCATTTGTTGTTTACAAATTTATATAATTCATCTTTTGTTGACAATTTAAAGATTAAAATTTTATTGCTAAAAAGTAGATGAAAAAGGATTTCTTTCAAAGATAAGTTTAAACACACTGAAAATAGAAATTAATTTAATATTTCTTAAAATGAATTATGCAAAAGAAAGTCTGTGCAGAAAATGTAATTAAAAAATTAATTAAAAAAACATATTTAAGTTTCTTATACATTTAATTCAAATCCTTTAGCTTCATAAGTGTGCCTTTCTAGACTTCTGCACATACTGTCTTTAAAATAAAAAAAACCCCTAGGTATGCCCTTATTGATGTAAACTGCTTTTTATTTCATTTTAATAATCTCTAACTCAGAATTAAACAAAAAAAATTCATAAAGATAACTTAACATTAAGATAAATTAAAGTGAATTAATAATGCCTACTTTTAATTTTGCCAACAATTGTAGATCAATTTGTAATTTCAAATATTTGAATTGGCTACTAACCAACTAATAGACCAACTACCAGCAGTTATTTAATTATAATTATTCCAATAAAAATTTGAGTACAAAAAAAGTAAGTTTACACTTACACATTATGTTATTACATCATGACAATTATAAGACCATTAAAAATAATAATAATATAATAATTCTTTGAATAAGATACTATGATTATGATTGGAAAAATCTAATCACTGCATTTTTACTAATACTGTATTACTAATACTAATGACACTAATGGTTGCTATTGTCAATCAATCATTCATAATAATGTTAATATAAAACTGGGCTTAGGGCATGGGCGGCATCATGGCATGGGCATTTGGCATAATATTATAATAGTAGACTACACCAGACAAAAAGTCACTCTAGTTACTATGATTACTTTTAAGTTTTTATTGTATAATGAATTACTGTTAATTTATTTACTCACTTTAATTAGGCCTATAGCCTATATTATATTTATATAATATAATATAGTATATACTATTTAAATATAACTTATACTTATAACGATAAACAGAGTTATGAAATTATAATTAACCATATCATAATAAAAATATCTAAGAACATAACATATAGTATAAGCATTTAAAAAAGGAATATACGGAATATACCTCTTGCTGACGTATTTGCGTCGCTATAAAGCCTTCAAGATTTGATGTTTTGGCAGAGGTCGATCCGTTGAGTCCATTCATTTCGGCCGCCATCTTTCAACAAATACGTATGTGTTGCTAGGTACTATAAAATTCTAAATTTTTTTTTTGAACACAAACCAAATTTACATTAAAACCTATAAATTCCAATGTGTAATCCGATAGTAGGTAAGCCCGATGGTAAATTTAGCCCTTTTAATTAATTACAATAATTGCATTTCAGAACTTAAAAAAAAAAATCAATTTTCAAAGTTTGTTTTAACTTATCGAAAAATATTTTTGTTTAAATTTATAAATTATTCATAAAAAAAACAAACAACAACAACAAAAAAACTTTAGTTTGTTTAAATTCAACTATTTAGTTAAATAAAAAAGATTGTCCCAGTCTTACACTACTGTGATTGTGAATGCGTCCATCTAGTTTTATGTAAATCAAAAGGCAAAGGTCCAGCAGTAGCCTACTTCTTTCCATTCAATTACTAAATAGTCTAACTTAGAAGTCTAAGTCTTCTGGAATAACTAGATATGCTTCAAATTAATTTTTACAAATATTTTAAACGTGTCACATGCCAATGACTCAATAAAATATCGATTTTTTAATTTAAAAAATGATTCTTTTTTAAATTTTACTTAAAAAACTCCTGAAAACACAGTTTTTTCTTGATTATACTTTATAAAATGTAATAACAAGCACTGGAGGTGTGGGGTTGAAAATTTGACAAATAACGCACTTTATAAGAATCCCAATTATTATTAGCCCCCCCCCCACCCCCGGCTCGCATTTTTTTTAAAAACTTCCTTGTACTATATTAATATTCTATTGTATCATCCGCTTTTACACCACAGATTTATGACATCAACAATTTCAGACAATACACAAGAAAATATTAAGCACCAAACGCACTTGCAATATTTAAAAAAAAAAAAAAAAAGGAATCCAAATTAGCGCAATTATCGGGAATTTTATTTCAAGAAATCAGTGACATCATATTTCCTACAGGAAAAAGCTGATTTTTTGGGGTCAGTGTGGGAGTGGGGTTGAACATTTGATAGGATGTGTTGTCAATGCATCCAGTCTATATTCAAGTTCCTGCTCAATAGGTTGACGGGAGGTGGGTCAATTAGCCTTCCAAAGATTTTGCCTCAAAACCAGAAAGAAACACTCGAACAAAAGCGAAGTTAATATAAAGAATTTAAAAGAATTTAAAGGGTCATTTATTGAAGATTGGTGACAGAATCAGATATTTAATTTATCATTAGACTAGTATATTATATTTCCAGTTGACACATCTAAACAAATTACAGCCTACATCTACCTAAGCTATTAATAGGCATATACCCTATATTATATTATCAATAGTGTCAATATAATATCATGATATAATATAATATAAAATATAGGACAATACTTTATCATAATCATATGTCATATGAAAATTAATTTAGAAATCCAATTCTAATACTATTAGGCCTACCACTTAGTTGTGTTAAAGAAAATGCCAACAATTACTGCTGTCAATAGTAACACGGGTAAATATACATTAAAATAAAACTAAATATACAATTAACAATTACGCATGTATTTTTGTATATATTAAAAGTAACAATATCGATTTAGCTATTTTATTTAAGATATCTGTTAATTATACTATTCGGAAATCGGAGTCACTGTCTCAGCCTTGACCTTTTGCAAAAACCTGATCCTAAAATAGCACTACTATAAACCATAACAAACTGCGAGTTATTATATTACATAAAATCAACTGAATCTACTTTACGTTGTTATTATAAAATGTGTGGTTTGAAGTATTCCCGGTATGTTTTTCCTTCATTATTAAGTACACTAAGTCTAAATGAAAACTGATAGTTTTAAGAATATAGAATACAAACGCATACCGCATCCGCATACTCATACACTACACACTTACACTAGTCACCCGTCTTCTTCTCTCTTCTATCTTCTATATATATTAAGGGCACACGATCAACGTATTCTGGCTCCTAATGTATGTAGAGGGGATTTGCAATGTTTCTGTGCCTGGTATTGAAGAGGATATTTCACTGGTTGCAAGGGCTAATCAGCGAGGGTATCTGATTCTGAACTGGGTTAACTGGGGGTTGGAAGGCCTGAGCCTGAGGCAATTCAAATTCAATAGACGCAAATGTGTCAGTCAAGTGTTGTCCCTCAAATGCTCCTTTCTAGCCTTTTGGAAGCTTGTTGTAATCTCTGAATGTCTTTGGCAGGAATGAGCAGTTCCTGTCCTGTGTTCTTGCTGTTATTAGCTAGAATTACCTGTCATGGCCTCGTGGCTGCCTGCCTAGGGGCAGAGGGACGAGTTTCTGTTTAATGCTGGAGTACTGGACCAGCCCATTATTTATCTTGTACATCATGGAATAGTACTATTAAATAGTGGTAGTAGTATTATTTGAGTATGCCTGTGACTGTGAGTGTGTAGCATCTGATCACCTTTGACTCACGGAATTTCCAAATAAATCAAGTGCTGTATGTCTAAATTATATTATATTTATATACTCCACATTAATATACGTAGAGTTAGTTATGCTTAGTAGGCTTACATTTTAATATGTTAAATTAATTCCATCGCCATCACTTTAATGTTCAATGTTAGGCAATATTTAAATGAATTTTAAAGTTAAGTCAGTGGTCGGCAACTGAGTGTGGCTCGGACCAGTCGGCCACAAATCGGTTTTGACTCTGAAAAACATGATTCTTGAAAAGAAATTTGGTTCTATGCCATTGCTATTAATTAGATTGATAATTGACTTGACACTTGAGGCATTTGGCAAGTATTGGCAGGCATTGGCATAAATAACGGGGCCTATTTCTATAATTATAAGTAATATTTAAGTTAATTAATATTTTTGGCTGTAAAGGCCAGGCTGGGGGCTAAAGCTAGTATAAATCAGTATGTGAAAAATAAATAAAATATGAAATTGCCTAAGACTAAATTCAGATTACTAAAGACCACTTTGGCTTAACTTCCCATTTAAATAGACAGAAGAGTAGGGAAGAATGTGAATGGCCAATGGATCAGACAGAAGAAATACATCTAAATATGCACCCCTATCAAAGTCAGTGAAAGTAAGAGTTAATAAAACTAAGATTTAGAACAAAAATTATTAATTAGCATAGTGAAGAAAAAAAAAAAAAGAGGATAGTGAAGACCAAAAAACACTTGGCATAGAGAGATAGTAAAGTATGAACTTAAGATTGGTAAGAGTTGGAAGGATTTAGAGCCTGGGAGGTCAAAGTCAGTGAAAGTAAGAGTTAATAAAACAAAGATTTAGAACAAAAATTATTAATTAGCATAGTGAAGAAAAAAAAAAAAAAGAGGATAGTGAAGACCAAAAAACACTTGGCATAGAGAGATAGTAAAGTATGAACTTAAGATTGGTAAGAGTTGGAAGGATTTAGAGCCTGGGAGGTGTGGAAAGTAATTTTTAATGGCCTATGCTCCATTGGAAGTTTAAAAATGTCAAAGAAGACAAAAAAAGAATAAAACTAAGATTTAGAATGAAAATAAGAAAGTAGCATAGTCAAAATATACTACTGAGAAATTTACCTTTAATATTAACCCCCCCCCCCCTTTTTTCCCCCTCTGTTATCTTAGGTTTTTTGCACAATTTAACTAAAATTTAGTTGTTATAATTTGAGGCCAAGGTATCTCAGTGCTGTGAAAACTTTGGTCACCTTTAAAAAATTCTAAAATATATGTATCATATTCAAAATAATCGTTTTCATTGTTCCGTATGTGTTTTTAGAATAATGACATCATGAATATTATGAATAAAAGCACAGTTTTCTTAAACTAAAGACTTCTCCTTGGTCAACAATATTAAATATATGTATAATTTTCAAAATAATCATCTTCATTTTTACGTATAATAATATGTTTTCAGAATAATGACAATGTGAATATTGTAATACAAGCACAAATTTCTAAACCTTAATTAGAGACTTCTCCTTGGTCAAAGGTTTTCTCAAAATTAGATAGTGCTGACTTTAGGATCTCACCAGGTAAGTATCATGTAAGTGACATGATAGTTTCATTTCATTATGTCATGCTTCAAAAAAGAAATCAAATATTTTCCAAGTTGGATTCTTACATTCATATCTGCTATAAATTTAATTAATTTTCTTAGAACTAACTATACAGAAGGCCCATTTAAAAAAAAAAACGTATATCAATTAAAGGTCTCAAGGTCAGATGTGGGACAATATTATTAATTTTATCCCCACCTATTAAAAGAAACTGATTATAATTCTAATTTATTCACTTTGAGCAGTTTTACCAATGAGAACGCACTGTCTGTCTATGAAAAATTTTAAGATAACTGCTTATAATTGAAGGAATAATAATTGTTGATTAAAATTTACAAACTATGCAAAAATGATGATTTATCAGCTCATTTGAATTGAGCAGATAAAATTTGTCTGACAAATATGCTTCATTAATAATCATGTAGAAAATTGGGGTGGGTGGTGTGAATATACATGTTATTTTTTAATGTCATGATTATGTTTGCTAATATTTTTATGTACAGCACGGTGAGCCCAGCCCTAAGCTGAGGTACCGCGCTATGTAAGACCACTAATAATAATAATAATAATGTGAAACTGGCAGTGTTTTGAAGTATTTTTATATATGAATAAATCTTGGATGCTGTTAGTTTATGAATGATTTAATTCTCATCAGCATTTATAATAAAAAGATAAACAAAAATATTTGCCACAAGGTGCCAAATGTCAAATAAAACACTTTTTGTTAAAAAGTGAATGGCAACCAACATAATAACCGCCTAAAATTAGTATTTAAAATGGTTAACGTCTAATGCCCAATTTAAATTTATGCTTTTTATTGAATCAAGCAATCTTCATCAGCCTCTTCATCATAATTTCATAAAAGAAAAGAAAAGAAGAAAAAAAAGCAGAAGGAAAAAAAGGAAGAAAAATACAAGCGAAAAACAAAATCTATCGCTATTGAATTGCTGTTTTGTATTAGATGGTGTTCTGCAAACCGCTCTAACCAAAGTCAAAGCACGTTTTCATACAGTGCCTTCGGCGTTGTGTCATAAGTTTGCAGAATGTTTCTTTAAATTAGAACCGGCGCTTGCTGTCTGCCGGCCATTATACTGTTTATTTTGTATTATTACATGTAAAAATTGGTCTGAAAACAAAAGTTAACAGTTACGCCACCAATTATAGGTGGCTATTAGGCTGGTAACTGTGCACTATCTTACATAGAGTATTCTATTTTACATTTGGGGACGCTGTCCTGAGGAGTGCCACAAGTCCTATCCACAATTTACGTTACATTTTTTTGTTTTTTGTTTAGCTTTGAAAACACATCTTAGAGCCAGTGGGAGAAAACTCGAAATGCCAGGCAAAATTGCAGAAGTCAATCCTCTTCTAGCCAGCATTGATGATGTTGTGATTGATGAAAATGGCCGCTTCAAATACATCTTGTGCAAGGTCTATCAGGATGGCAATAAAAAGGAATCCAAGATGATAGTCAGGGGGACAAAGCAAGCAGAGTTTCATGGTAGCACACAGCATTCATAAAACTATTGCTTCTATATCTATCTCTTACCTCCTTATACATTACAAATTATAAAAAAAAAGACCAAAAAAAAAAAAACCCTATAAAACAGAGAAGGAATAAATTTAAGAAGAAAATTAAATATTTGTTTTTGAGCAAGAACATTTTACATTCTTTTATAAAGTCATCTGGTGTACGCAAAAGAAAGAATTATTTAAGTTAGTTTTAGTTTAAATCTCAACTTAAATTGTATTTATCAGACCCATTGAACCTTTAAATATCTAGTTGTGATAGAATAATTTTGATAACATAATTTTCCATATGACATTTAAAGTATCTGAATTTGATTGCATGTAAACTTTAAAGTAGACTTTCCATTGAAACTTCCCTTCTTTGTGATAATTTGGGTCAACTTGTATCTTGTCTCTGTGCATACAAATTTCAGCTGATATCTATGACCACCTTGATGCCTTCCTGGAAGAGATAGGAGTCACATGCGAATGTGTGGGTGGTGGCAAGATAGAGCATGATTCACTGGCTAAAACCATCAATGTATTTGGGCAATCACAGGTACAGGTAGCTTTTTAAGTCTTATATATAAATATACATTTAAGCAATTTCTTGGTCTTATATATGTATATTATGTATATTAAAACATTCACCACAAACCAGTGCTACAAAGTTAAAATATATTTTACAATTCAGGTTTACAACTCAAAACAAATAAATTAAATAATCTACCATTAGCTCTGGGATATGTTTTCTTTTTACCTTTGCCACTTTGCATTTAAAAATCATTCAAAGTTCTAATTAACAGATGCCATAATTTTTACAAGAATATAATTTTTGTGTTTGCAGCCTATGAAATTTGACTAATGAAATCAGCAAAATCATATGACCAGCACACCTAAACCCTTTCAAAATTGCAGCGTCCCACCACAAATAGAAACAGTTTAAACAATGTTTGAGTACAGATCACATATGAAATTAACCTGTGCCATTAGAACTTTCATATCAAATAACATATTGTACCGGTAGTTATAACATTCATAATAATTAAAAATATTCAGCTTCAATTTCAAAAGAAGAAATGTTAAATAAAACATACAGTCCCAAAATATAAAAAGTATTTAATATAATGAGTTGCCTTATTTGTAGGTTAAAATATTAGACCCAATCTTTTTTTAGGTAAACATAGCTGTTTTATATTTGATTAAATATCTAACAAAGCAACTCGAAATTCACCATCAGCCATCTAATCACAACAGCTTATAATTTTGTATAAGAGTGTCAAAAATTATTTATTTAAAAAAAGCACAGAAAGATTTTGAATTCAAATTTTATTGAATATATTATGTTCATCCGTGTTAGCACAATTGTTTTTATTTTAGACTTCTAATGAGTCTTCTTGGAACCATGCAACATGCCCAATTTACATGTGCACATATTTTGTGATATGTTAATTGACAAGTTTGTTGCTTGGTAATCACTGTCCAATTTATTCAACACACTTTCATAAAATTTAGGTGTCCCCATAAACTCTGTCTTTTTTTCTCATCTTTGAGGCATGTGCTGCTGCACACCTAGCACCATTTTGTGGCACACCGGTTGCATAGTTATTTTTTTAATGCACCAAGATTTAATAGAATGTAAATTTTCTACATGATAATTAATGAAGCATGTTTCAGTTCCATCATATTCAGATCTCAGAATAAATATTGCAAGTGAGTTAATGAGAAACAAGCACTTTTTTTTCTACTTATTGATGGTGTCATTATGAGCAAACTGCAGAGTTTTGGGGGTGGGGTGGGGGGGGGGGCTGCAACATAAACTTATCCCGTCCTGCGCGGCACTAAGCCACTGTGTTTATGTGTATTTTCTGTGCTAAGTGTATAAATTGAAGTTAAGTTCTGATTGAAAGCACATTGATATCTTCTAATAAAAGATATGTTATGCTTAACAATTACAACAAACAAGATGTTTAATGTGTTTTTTATTCCATTTAGTTATACTCCATGTATTTTTCTTACAGGGTTATGGCAAGGCTGATCACTCCATCACTGTCCGTCTACTGAAAGAAAAGTTCCCAGACTACCACTGTGTCACGTGGTGTGACGACTAAGTGGAGTGTTTATTTTTATTACTTGTCAAAGACTTGTATAGGTATTGTAATTTGTATTGAAAATTGTTTTCAAAGCTTGAAATGTTTTTTTTTTTTGTATATAAAAATTAGCTACACCTGTAAATAACAATAGAATTGAGTGCTTGTTGATCCCATGTAAAAAAAAAAGGGCAGGCTCAACAACTTCATGAATTCTACCCTTACAACGTGAGCTCCATCTCCCCATTTCTGACTTGCCTGTTGAGATTTTAGAAATTGTCACAAGTAATAGATCAGTTAACATTTGTCATTCAAAAATCATAACTTGATGATGGGTCACTTAGCTGTCATAAGTCTCCTCTCATCAAAACATTATTTCATATTTTTCTATGTCCAGGACAGTGGTCGGCAAACTAGCTCTTCTTTGAATAAATAAATGCCCCTCTTTTTTCATTTGATTTGAAAAAAAATTAAAAAAAATAAAAAGGATTGATAATGACCTTTGAAGTAAATGAAAACTAAATGGAGCTTAATGGCAAAATGGCATTAAAATGATATTTTAAATATCTTCCAAGTGTCAAGGAATTTCATTTTATACAATTTTAATGTAATGAAAGGAGGATAAACTTTATTTTATTTTGTAATCTGTGCAACATTGTAGTCCTGATGTGTATTGAACAAATAGGACGTTCTACTTTGCAAAGAGCAAACACATAATTTAACTATAATATTTTTTAAAATGTTGTTTCTAAATTTCAAGCACCAGAAGCACAATATCTCTTCAGATGTCATGTGCACGTTCGCTCTCCTAAATCGGCCCCCTTTTGCCTGCCGTTTGCTAAATTTTCACATACTTGATATGGTTTATAAAATGGCTCTTCACAAAAAAAAAAGGTTGCTGACCACCCCTGGTTTCTAGGAATAAAATGTTTGGATTCATTAAATGTAAGATGTTAATTTTTTTGTATTCTTTCCACCTTCAAGTGTTTTGGTTTGATATTTCCACCACATACATTGGCATACAGTATGTTTAAACAGTTTTAGTCACATCCTGCTGGACGTAATGATTCAATTTTACAACTAGGAAAGAAATGTGTCATTTAATAGTTTTTATAATTTTTTTTGCTTTAAAAATTAGGGGGGGGGGATTTTTTTTTTTTACCCAAGGTAAAAAAAAAAAAAATTTGAATGGAATAATGAAGGAAGAAAAAAGTTTTAAATTAATATAAAAATTATAGTTTTTATAATTTTTTTTGCTTTAAAAATTAGGGGGGGGGGATTTTTTTTTTTTACCCAAAGTAAAAAAAAAAATGATTTGAATGGAATAATGAAGGAAGAAAAAAGGTTTAAATTGATATGAAAATGTGACAGAAAGGTATTTGTTGGGATTCACCCCCTTTATAATTCCCTTCCCAACCCAAAACCGCCTAATTTATACTATAGAAAAAAAAAAAAGATGTTTTTCAGCTACCAACCAAGACTACTGATACATTTCTGCACTCATTGCATTTAATGCTTGAAGTAGAGGGTTAAACTAACAAATAGTTTGACACAATGAATTGTTTTATATGCAAGTATTTATTATTTGTGCTCATTGTTGTAACAAAATCCTGTGAACATTTGTGTGAAACACGATTGTAACAAAATCCTGTGAACATTTGTGTGAAACACGATTGTAACAAAATCCTGTGAACATTTGTGTGGAAGACGATTGTAACAAAATCCTGTGAACATTTGTGTGGAAGATTATTGTAAGAACCTAGGAAGTGTTCAGAAATGTGCACATTGAAGTGATTTTTCCTCATTGAGTTGCCAGATTTATTTGTAATCTTCACTGAAGTTTAAGAAAAATAATTTGTTTAATAGTTAAAGATTTTCATTGTTTGTGCTATGGACCTTTTTCTGGCAGGCATGTTGACATCATTGAATCTCAGTGTGTGAAATCTCCAGGAAATCAGTTTTCATCAACATGTACATAACTGCTCAGTCTTTTTATCATAGTAGAGTAGATTATTCATAAAAAATTGATCTATTTCGCGTGGGTGTTCCTACTATTTTTAAATGGAGGTCTTTTTTTAAAAAAAGTATTTTTTTGCTGTTTGAAAATTTAGCAGTTGTAAATTCAAATGGAGGGCTTTTTGTAAAAAAAATATTTTTTTGCAGTTTGAAACTTTAGCAGTTGTAAATTTAAATGGAGGGCTTTTTGTAAAAAAATATTTTTTTTGCTGTTTAAAAATTTAGCAGTTGTAAATTTAAATGGAGAGCTTTTTTGTTAAAAAAATATTTTTTTGCAGTTTGAAACTTTAGCAGTTGTAAATTTAAATTGAGGGCTTTTTGTAAAAAAAATATTTTTTTTTTGCTGTTTTAAAATTTAGCAGTTTTAAAGGGATTTTTGTGGGCTGCTTTGGAGATTGCAGAAAAAAAGTTCACACAAGGTATTAAAAGAGCTGAATTGATTCACATGAATTATATTTATAATGGTTTTCCAACTCCTGAAGTAAGAACGAGACCTTCATGGCATTGCCACAGCCTGCAGTGAAGTTTATCTTTGTGGCCCAGTTGAATTCCCAGATGTTACAACTTTGTCATTAGTCTTGCATCCCTACGACTTAACACTTCAAAGGAACAAATCTGTATGGTTTAATGATACACTTAAAAGAAAGTGTTATTACCTCATTTCACTATGTTAACCAGCATATTTCATTCATTCTCTATTTTGGGGCAGTTGTCTGTTGTATGGTGCTTGTCAGTTGTTTTTTTTGTGGCATTGCGCAATGTTTTTGCATTTAAAATTTAAACACACAAAGTTTATTTGACATGCTTGCATTTTTTTGTGTGGTTTGTTTGTCTTAGAAAGCCTTCCATCAGTTTTTAGAATCTCCTCCTAGAAAGGCTGGTAACGCAGTGAGGGTCGGGCTGGTACGGTTTGACGGGTGGGTGGGTGGAGGGGAATCAAATAGTTCAGAGTTTCATTTGGGAGCATCATCAACCGGACTCAAATTTATTTTTCACATTGGCCTGTTTGGGATGTTGGTCTTGATGTCTTGAGAAGTCAATGACGTGTCTGACATTTCTATTTGCCGGTTGGGAGATGTACCCACATCCCCCGCACCACCAAAATCGCTATCCCACCAGCTCTTCACAACAACAAAATTCCCACCACTAATCCCCCTTATGCCACCAACGTCACCACAGAGCCGTGCGAAACAGGGCGCCAACACCAAGGGGCGCCAAAACCAAGAGGCGCCAAAACCAGCCAAAATCGTCTTGAGATAGGTTCTTGGAAACGATACAATTTCAAAGTCATGGGCGCCAAAATCGTCTTTTTCCCGATCCACCCAGGGTTGCAGTTTATTCTTTATTCTAAGGGGGTACCATTTTCAGGCTTTTCCTCGTCATGACCCTGCCTCCCCATACCTCTCATACACATATAGCTACCAAAACCACCAACTTTGTGTTACTGTTTTGCTTTGATTTGACATAAACTTATGATAAACATTTGTTTCTTGTACTTGTACCGTTTATAAAAGATTGTAAAACTAAATAAAAAATGCAAGCGCCCCTTCTAATTTCAACTCTGGCATTCGTAAAGCTACAAAAATATAAGTGCCACTTCTAATTTCAATTTTTGCCTACGCTGGATAAAATACTGTCAAATGACATTCCCCCCCCCCCCCCCATTTCGTTTAAAAATAATTTTATTGAGAATCGACACGTAATTTTATTCTTGACTGCACCGATTCTCTTAACCATACAACCACGCAACACTGCCATCAACCACACATTCTACTGTACAACCATGGCAGTGTTGGGTTCAGACATTGAGCCGAGGGTACAGGGTGCGGCTATACGGTACTCTTACATGCTAAAGCCATGAAGTCCTGGGCACAGCTAGAAAACCCAGGATACAGCCATGCCGTACTGGTCACAGCCACGTGGTGCAGGCTGCGGCTATGAAGACTTGTGTACAGCCGTACAGGGTACAGCTAACTATGCTGTACAGGGTACATCCTCATAAAGCCCAGTATTGAACCATGCTATGTAATTCAATTTATTGGGTATAAAATTGTTTTCTAACAAAGGATTGTTTTTAACACTTCAAATAAGTTCAAACTTTTATTAAACTTATTAATAATAAAACGCTTTTTTTCCCCCCTTGTCCATAACAGTAAAGATCGAAGTGTAAGAACATAACTGATGCTTGGTTTTTGTTACCGGTGAAATGCATTTATTTCTAAAGCAATTTTTTTAAAACGTCAGTGATTCTCAAACATGTCTTGAATATATATTTTTTGGAATAAACTTGCATCTGCGACAGATAACAAGTGTGGATGTTGACATTTTCGGTTGAAAGTGTGTTTCAAACACTGTATTTGTCTCGTCCTTATTTCTCTCCAACCCCTGGCTCGGATCCATAATAGGGTCGTGGAGGCTTAATATCTGTCAGGTCGCCGATTGAAACGGTACGTTGTAAATTAAGTCATGATTTGAAGGAAATTTTCAAATTTAATAGTTTTTTCTTTTTCAAATTAAATACGGCTGAAACAGTTTCATAATACTGCACCGACTTACGGTGTTATTTTCCCGCTTCTGAATTAATATTTCATAAATGTATTACCATCGCAGGTCATTTGCTACTATAAAATGGGACTCTGTTCGCTTTGCTTCCAAAAAATGGGGTACGACTAAAAAGGATGGGAGCCAGTTCACTAGATCTTTTAACAATAAAATGCACGCATCATCGTCAACAAGAACAACACCAACGTATAAATAATTGTATTTATAAATATGTACACACAAAATAGATTAACAGACTAAACGCTAAAGATAGCACACGAGAAGACGCCCCCGGGGAGCCGTTTCCTGGTCCGTTCCAGAAGTTGCCGTTTTGGTCGTTGCACTTGTCAGCGGCGCATGTCAGGATGCAGGTGGGAGAGTAATTGTCAGCAGCGTCACACCCCACGTTGTTCTCCGTGGTGGCACAGCTGCGAAATATGGAGTTGATCCTCTTGTAACCTGCGATAGACAGCAACATTTTCACGAAGGAAGTTAAGACCCGGAAAACACAAACAATGGCTCACAGTCAGTGTTGAACCCGGGTTAGGAGAACAACCAGTGCCCATTATTCGATTAAAAAAACAACACTTATGGAGATAAAGGCTTACTGTCTACACTATACTACACATCTGGGGGTCGGAGATTTTTTGTTAAGCAATATTGAAAGGGATATCCCGATACCCACAATATTTTCTCAACCCCTCTCGTTGTGTTCAGATTAGAAAAAAAAAAAGTACCGGATCTCCTTGGTCGTAGTACCTTTCCTGTTAGCCGCTCTCGTTTATATATGATGTGTGGTCGTAGTCTTTGCAAGACTTGCCCCTTTGTCATCCAACTGAACACATTTCCTTCATTAAGCCAATATTTCATATGCGATGTTTTTGTTAACTGCACACGCCACAATATTGTCTAAGCCATTATTTGTAGCTTCTCCCAAAAGTGCAACTTTGGCGAAACTGGTCGGCGCCTTTCAAACATTTTCAAGGAATAGTTAGCAAGACAAAAAATTTCTCGTCTCGTTACACTTACATTGAAGCGAACGCAAAGGCGCGACTGTTTCGTTCATTACGGCTATTGTTTCCTGTACCAACACGTCAACGAGGGTGAGTCTTCAGCATAAACTAATCCACAGCTTCAGAACCCTGACTTCACAAGGAATGAATGTTATGTTCTCGTTTACTTGTTTACACCACCCATCTACCCTTTTCCCCTTGGTTACAGCCAATCATTGTGTACTACCTTCTACTTTGATTTCAGGAAACCTTTTAGTTCACTAAAATTTCATGGATTTTCCCGAACGCTGCACAGCATCAATTGCGTTATTTTTACATTTTATTTTGTTCACGTGTTTTCGTTCGTCGAAGAAGGCTTTTTGCCGCAACGTCTGTTGCTTCGTTTTGTATCTCCCCCCCCCCTCTCCAGCCCCCCCCCCCGTCCTTTACGTTCTGCTACTTCTTTCATTGGTATAATTATAATTGCTCCATGATGAATGGATTACACAGGCACGAGCTTGCAATCCCGAATATCGTCCTGTTTATTAGAAGGGGTTTTGAAGTTAAATTAAAGTGCGCTGGACTGATCATTGTGAAGTCTATGACGACCACCTCTCAAAATGCATTCACTAAATTTGTAAAAGTTGGTGTTTTTTTTTTGGGTGGGGGGGAGGGGGGTGGGGTAAGGGGTTGGGCGTGTCGAATGATTTGAGAAAGAAACATCTTTGTTATTATTATAGCTTTTAAAAATAACACAACTCAATTAAATAAATAAAAATAATAATTTGTGGCTGGAACAAATATTCAGTAGATTCCACCAAGTTTGCAACCAAAGCAAAAAAAAAATAAAATAAATGAATACAAGATTGATTCCATAACTCTACAGCGCATGTTTCCTTATGTGGTACGACCTACCTGTGGTGTACACCACTCTGGTGACGCAGGTGTTGGGACACGGCACCTGACTGGTTTTACTGAAGTTGTACACATCATTGACACACTGGATGTCCGTCGACCCGTCCTCACCGGCGAATGTGTAGGAGCACGCGAGGCAGGTAACACCGGCGTTAGCTGATGTGGGGGGGGGGGGGAGGGAGAAAAGAAATTGCCAAATGAGAAATTTTTTAAACAATCAGACCAAAAACCTTATGTCCTCACCGGCGAATGTGTAGGAGCACGCGAGGCAGGTAACACCGGCGTTAGCTGATGTGGGGGGGGGGAGGGAGAAAAGAAATTGCCACATGAGAAATTTTTTAAACAATCAGACCAAGAATCTTAATGTCCATTCCCAACCTTCAATCCCTCCACTCATCTTTCGCTCGTCTCTCGGTGTCTTTCATTGTCTCTCAGTATCTCCCAGGGATCTCTCTGTGTCTCTCAGTATCTCCTAGGGATCTCTCTGTGTCTCTCAGGGATGTGATTTGCTTTGGTACGAACGCCACGCCATCTGCCAAGGTACCACAATGTTAGCCCCCACCCCCCACCCTTTTAAAGACTGGGAAGAAAACAGAACCCCCCATTGACGTCACAATTCGAACAATTCACAAGCCTTTTTTCCACTGCTTTATCGGAAGTAAAATTTAAAATAAAAAAATATAAAAATAATAATAATGCCGATCCTTAATGGGATGAACGAGATGTTACAACACAATCTTAGCTTCTTGGTTTTCCAGAAACATCCCAAGCTGAGAAGAAGGCCTTTCATGTAACACGATTCTGGGTGTTGTTTTGTAACGTAAAGTTTACATCCAAGATGTCATGTGACCCCTGACACACGGTCTCATTAATAAAGTTGCGGATCCGGGAAGAAAAAGGTGTGTGTGTGTGTGGGGGGGGGGTGGGTATTAATGATTGTCCTCCCCCCACCCACTTTGAGGACTCAGAACACATGTATCATTGAATTCTTTAAAGTTAAATCTTCATTGTCTCCAGTGGACGCTTCTTGACCCTGGCACCAAACTACACATTAAAATAATAAGATGTATAGAGAATATTTATTATTGAACCAAAAATAACGCAGTCAAAAGTGCCAGGCGTGACAGGTTTTCGCCCCTCCGCCCCCCCCCCCCGCCCCTTCTTCTTACACCAGTAATCGTCTCCCCTTGAGAAAGTATGTACGATATCCGCCAGGCATCGTCTCCGCTTGTAAAAGTACGTACAATATCTGTATATCACAGTGATCGTCTCCCCTTGTTAAAGTATGTACAATATCTGCATGTCACACTGATCGTCTCCCCTTGTTAAAGTATTACAATATCTGTATATCACAGTGATCGGCTCCCCTTGTTAAAGTGTGTGCAATATCTGTATATCCCAGTGATTGTCTCCCCTTGTTATGTACAATATCTATATATCCTAGTGATTGTCTCCCCTTGTTACGAACAAGA